TATGATGTGAAATTTGCAATATTAATCATTTGTCAACAGTTAAAGGGAAGCTGGAACTTAATTATGAAATGCTGGAAATTAACTGTTAGTTAAGGTAAGTATAATTTTGTTTATTGGTAGCATAATAAAACCAGTTACTGTTATTTATTGCATGACTTTTTTACTTTTTCTAACGTGTTGTTTTTAAAACACTTCCTCTCTCTCTTAGATGAGACTTAAATAAGAATTAGTATAGAGAGAGAATAGATTAAACTCGTGTAATTACTGAGCTCTTGCATATTTTTTAATACTGCGATTGATAATTTGCTATTTAAAGATATAATTCTTAAAATCGTCCCTTGGTTGTTATTGGTTATTGTAATAAATAAAATCTTTTTAGTTTCAAGTATTTTATTTTAGGGATCGTCTATATATTACGTAACGCGAAATTAAAAATATAGACAAAAGAGATATCTCTCCAAAACCGTGTTTCTCTCATGGTCAACTATATGTTGCATTTTCAAGAACTAGAGCATTTAATAGTTTGTTTTTCAAAATTGATAAACAACTTATTCAAGTTATAGTAGGTAAAAAATGTAACATAAATATTGTTATTTTTTTTAATGTTCTTAATTTATAGTCTTTAGATTTTCATTTCGAAAATTTATTGTTAAAAGTAGTGAGCACATTTTAAATGTATAACTTTATTTATCATTATTTACTTTTTTTCATTGTTTTTGGTAAATATATCTATCATTCAATAGTTGTAAAATGTGTTTATACGTGTTACATAAAGTCATATTTGTTTATAGTTTTATATATATTTAAAAACCAAAACAACAATTTATATCTTAGTTTGATTTTTTTTTTAGTATTGTTAATGCTTTTGTACTTCAAAACAGATTTTATAATTACATTTTCGATAAATCTTTAACTGCGATTTTAAAATAGGTTACTATAAATAGGTAAATCGATTTTCGGTAATTGTGTAGTGGTTTTTGTTTTTGTTCTTCTTTGTAATTATGATATCATAATTTCATTACCTTTTTTTTAAAATTACGTTATGACACATAAGATTTATAAAATAAAAAAACCTGATTTCTTTTTATTGTAAATTTTTCTTAGTTAAAAAGATATAAATATATGCTATTAGTTAATTTTATATTTTATCTATTTTATGCCTAATAATTTGTTGTACGTATTTTAAGGGGATCTTTGTAAATGGGGGGGGGGGGGGTCGTAATTAAAAACCTTTAAAAACATGGAGAATATTGTAGTTTTGCGCATTAATATCGAGTTACTCAAGTTTTATTTATGTGTTTAACTAATTAGTTAGCTTAGTCTCTATTTGCAACACTTTTGAGGAAAGAAAGAAAACATTCTTATATATGTAGATCATTGTTTTACATTTTATTATTTTATTCACCTGGTCACCATTAAAGCAAAAAGAGGGGAGGAACTTCTTTATTAGAGCCAAAATATTTAAGAAAATTAAATTTCGAGTTACAAAAGGAATTTTTAGTAAACGGTATTTTGCCAATACCGTTTACTAAAAATTAATGAAATAAAGAGGCCAAACAAATAATATAGAAATGGTCTGTGTTGAACAGACTTAACAAGACCCGGGTCGGGTCAGCTTGGTTTACAAATTCTTATGTCTACTTATCTGTTATAATTTTTATTTTAGGTTGGTCATATGATGCATTAATGCATTAAGTTTACATATTTTTTCAAATTTATTATACCCATGTTTGTCATTAAACATTTTTAAGTTAATAATTTTCTTTTTTAAAGAAAAATTAATCAAGGGGATACCAAAGAATTGTTAACTCCTGTATAATATAATTTATTCTTTTTAACTTTATTTTTTAAAAATTTTTATAACACGAACCATTAAGATTAAAATCTTAATGGTTCGTGTTATAAAAATTTTTACAAGGATTTCGTTAGTACTTTCGTCAATTTAAAGCATGACGAAGTGTTATTATTTTGTGTCAGTAACTAAAAACGTATTTTGTTAAACTTAGGAAGGTCGATGAAAATGGTTCTGCCTTATGAACTATGCCATTTGTTAATTACTTAAATAATGTTAAGTAGTAATAGTAAATGTTAAGTAGTAGTTTGCTAATTATTTTACCTCCTCATACTTTTTATGTTAATTTTACAGATGGATTAATTTTTTCAAGCTGAAGGCGATTTTCTAAAAGGGTATTAGTTAAGGTTTTGCAACATTAAATTGTGGAAAACAGCCACTAAATTAATTATGTAACAGACCGACCAAAACCCGTATTACGGGTTGCTTTTTGCTAGTTCTTAATGAAAAGTTCAAAATTCTCTACCATTAACTACTATATCCCAGCAAACAATAGACGTCTTTTAGACCGTCTAAAATTGGTCTAATTTGTATCTATTGCCGATACGTATATTTTAGACGTATATTAGAGATCAAAAAGACGTCTAATTCTAGAGATACTATTTTTGCTCTGTTTTAGATGCATATTAGATGCATAAAATAGATCATGTATAGATAATTTTTTTTTCATCTAAACTTAGATGTCTATAAGATGTCTTTTATAGATTTGTTATAAAAACAAGAAAAAAATTTTAATTAATTTTACGGAGCGATAATTATAAATGACCGCCATTTAAAAACCCTGCGGAAACTTATGATTTGAAATTTATTTTGCAGAAATATTACAAAATTATTATTTCCAAGTTGATAATTTTATTTCTAGAATAAAAGATAATGTAATTAAAATATATGTATATATATATATATATATGTATATATATATATATGTATATATATATATATATGTATATATATATATATATGTATATATATATATATATATATATATATATATATATATATATATATATATATATATATATATATATATATATATATATATATATATATATATATATATATATATATATATATATATATATATATATGTATATATATATATATATATATATATATATATATATATATATATATATATGTATGTATATATACATATATATATATATATATATATATATATATATGTATATATATATGTATATATACATATATATATATATATATATATATATATATATATATATATATATATATATATATATATATATATATATATATATATATATATATATATGTATATATATATGTATATATATATATATATATATATATATATATATATATATATATATATATATATATATATGTATATATATATATATATATATATATATATATATTTATATTATATATATATATATATATATATATATATATATATATATATATATATATATGATTTATAAATATATATATATATATATATATATGATTTATATATATATATATATATATATATATATATATATATATATATATATATATATATATATATATATATATATATATATATATATTGGTTGTGCACTTATCATTTTTATCGAGGAACCAAGATTCATTTATGTCTTTTACAAAAAGGGCATATGAAAAGAGACGCAGTAGACGTGTCCATAAAGAATATTAAAAAATACTAGAATTTTCATCAGTACATATAGAAAAAAAATCCAATGTTGGAACTTCTAAAAGAAATGATTTCTTATCTTGCAAAAATCTAAGAGAATATTTTGACCATTATGAGTCATCGATTTTGTACAATAAATACTCTTATGACCAAAAGCCTAATGAGTATAAGCATAACCCAACTTTAAAGGAAAGTTTTTCTGCATGTTTTTCTAACCAAGTAATTATGCACTAAACAAGTGGATTGACAAAGAAAAACAACCTTTTGTCAACAAAAGAATGGCACAAATTTCTATTGATAAAGTGTATGATAACAGATAGTCAGTATCTAACTTGTTTTGTGTTTTTTTTAAAGGTAACTTAATTACTTTTTTGTAGCAAAATGTTTTATAATTAGATTCATTTTCATGTTGTGAAGAATACAACTTTCTACATCAGATGAAATGTATGTTAAAGAAAGCATTAAAAATAAGAATAACAAATCATACCGCTCTTCATTGCCAGAACCTCCGCCACCTATTATGAATAAGCCCAATGCTAAAAGTATAACACAAATATCATATTTTTTTCTTAATGGTTTATAAACTGAAATAGATTCTTGTTTAATTTGATCTGAATAATATCTATCTAGCTATTAGTCTTTTTTATTTATTTCTAAATTTTTCCTTTTATTTTAACTATTTGGGTGTCCTGTTATTTGTAATGTTGTTAAATTGGTTACATATATTTAAATGATTGACAACATTCTATTGTATTAAATAATCCTTTAATCAACTTGATATGAAAATTGAAAATTGATTGAAAACATGCTGAAATTGTTTAAATTCAGAAATTGAAAGAGTACAAAATTGGTTGAAAGATTAAATTAAGTAACAGGTATGGTTGAGGGATTATTTATAGTTCTAATTATAATTATTTCTTTTGAAAAGAGTTGTTATCAGATTCAAAGATTGAAGAAGATAATTTTTCTTCACATTTTATTGATGAACAGAATAAAACAAAACAAAGTTCACATTGTCAAAGAGTTTCAAGTTTTAATATGAGTGTTTGTGGTTTTACACCAATGAATGTTAATGTGGAGGTCTTTTTTATTAATTTGTTTTTGTATTAAAATAGTTGTATTATTTTAATACAAAAAAAGATAGGTATAAAAGAATAGAAATGGATTATTTATAATATTGTGATCTGATAAATCATGTGTGTAGCATTTTACCTTTAGTAGTTAAACAAAATTCTTTAATATCGTAACCTTTTACAGGATAAAGTTTTAGCTGATTTAAAAAGTAGGTTTTCTAAAATATTATGGCAACTTCTGCGATGGAAAAAACTTACATGTATTTTTGGAATTTTAGTTTAAGTTACTCAAGCATAATTTGAATTTTAAAGTTCTTATTTCATTATTTTTGCTATTTGGTTTTATGAGCTAAATATGTTAATCAATCTTTTTATTCTTGTTTGTAGAGATGCAAAATGTTATTCCCAACGAGTTTGCAGAAATAAAAGTTCTTTTAAAAGAAGTTATAGAAATTAAGTTTCAGGCTACTGGGGTGAAGTTGCTAGAATCAGTGGACAAAGTGGTTACACTGGATAATAAACTAAAAGATAAAACCGAGTATACTAATTTGGTATAATCTAATTATCTTAATTTTTAATAAGTTTGTTTAAATTTGGTTTACTAGTTTAGAATCTAATGAAAAGTATTTGTAAATGAACTAAAATAACTAGCTTGTGTTAGACTCAATATGTTGTAAAGAAATTTAAGTTACACTAGTTTTTATTACATTTATTTCAGCTTGATAGTTTGAAAAAGATTGGTGGTGGAAAGCCTAGAGAACATGTTTTTTTGATCATAAAAAGGTAAATGATATACGTATATGTATATATATATATATATATATATATATATATATATATATATATATATATATATATATATATATATATATATATATATATATATATATATATATATATATATATATATATATATATATATATATATATATATATATATATATATATATATATATATACATGTATATATGTGTATATACAGTATTGGACAAAACATTTGCAACCAACATCAAACAATGCTAAAAAGTGTTCCTAATTTTTTGTCTTAAAAATGAAACAAACTATACTACCACAGCAAACAGTTCAGGAGTCTGGAGTCATAGCATGCCATGATATGAGCAATCAGCTGACAGGTGCAACTTTTAGGTTTGTTTCATTTTCTCAAGTCTGGTCCGTGTCAACGTCACGGAAGTTTTTTAATATACCAATAAAATAGGTTTTTCAGCAAGACAACGATCCCAAACACACTGCAAAAGTAGTCAAGCAGTGGTTTCAAGACAACCATCTATTGGTGATGGATTGACCGCCTCAATCTTCGGATCTCAACCCTATCGAGAACCTGTGGGAGATCGTTAACCGCAGAGTTAATCATGAATGTGTTCGTAATAAGGATCAACTGTTTGAACAAATCCAAATAGCAAAGTTTCATTGATCACCTGATCGAATCTATGCCTTAAAGATGCAAGGCTGTGATCGACAACAAAGGATTCACCACAAAATATTGATAGCAAAATACAGCTTGGTCAACATTTTGTGGAGTTGCACTTGTGTTGTCCAGAAGGAAATCAACTTTTTTTAATTCTTTTGATTAATTTATTAATTTTCGTGTACAAATAATGAACTTTGTGATGAATAAAATTTGAAAAACGTTGTCTCTAAACAGTTACATAGTTATTTCTCTAAATTGAAAAAATGCAGCACTTTTATATAAAGAAACTAAATTAGCATCATTTGGTTGCACTGGTTTTGTCCGATACTGTATGTGTATATATATATATATATATATATATATATATATATATATATATATATATATATATATATATATATATATATATAATATTTCATAAAAATAGATTCAGAATTCTACATGTCTTTTAAAGTCATTTAAATGTCATTAATGTATATATTTTAGATATCGGCGACGTGGAAGAAAATGTTGACGGCAATGCAGAAATATAGTTTCTTATGTATATTTTTGTGAAATAAAAATTAAATAATGTTAGTTAAAATGTTTCTTTACTTATTTAATTTAATCCTTTTTTATGACTAATTTAACCGCCTGTCAGGGTTACCGCTGTAACACCTTTGTATCAAACAAGTCCCAGCAAACAAAAAGATATCTAAAATGCATTTAATATGCATCTAAAAACTGGTCTAAAAGACGTCTAAATTCACGTCGTGAACGGGACATAAATAGATGTCTATCTTATAGATGTCTTTTAGATGCATTTTAATCGACACAAATAAATGCCTTAGATGCATAAAAGATGTGAAATATACATTTAAAGATGTATATTAGATGTATATTAGATGCATAAAAGAGCTATTATTAGCTAAAAAATTATCTATTATTTAATTTTTTTAAACGCGCCTTAGACATCTATTTAAGAGACGTATTTTATACATCTAATATGCATCTGTAAGATGCATATTTCACATCTTTTATGCATCTAAGGCAATTATTTGTGTCGAATAAAATGCATCTAAAAGACGTCTATAAGATAGACGTCTATTTATGTCCCGTTCTAGACCTGAATTTAGACATCTTTTAGACCAGTTTTTAGATGCATATTAGATGCATTTTAGATATCTTTTTGTTTGCTGGGATTACTCTACTTCATTCTTCTTTATGCTAACTAATAATTTACACACACACATACATCTATTGTAAAATATTACACTATATTATTTATATTTTTAATTTTTTATTTTAATATTTTTTTTCTTATATAAATAATCCACATTTTCACATAAACGGATAGCTTTTAACAACCGTTAAAACGTTTACCCATTTCACAACTAATAGCTGATTGAATAACAAATTATTAAAAACATTAACCTAACTACTATGCTATTTCCGTTTCGAAACGATCAAAATAATAAATAAAAACCGTAACGTCAACTAAAAAAACGTAGGTAGCAAAAATAACTTTTGATTACTTGCCTGATAATTCGGAAAAAAACACATCTAAACTTCTTTTTGGTATTTGTGTTACTGTAACTATTTTAGTCGCGATTGTACGTGTTTATTGTTAACATTTTAAAAAATAATTAAAAATAGCATCTTACGCTAAAGCAGCTTCAGTAGTCAGTTCGGTTGGTGAACGAATCGTCGAATTTAAGGTGTTTATGGATATGATACATGCGAACAATCTTTATAGGGGATAAATGAACAAAAACAATGTCGATCTTAATTGTTTCGAGAATGTTTTTACCATTCTTCTTAAATAATAAAAAACAATGGATATTTTTTTAGATAAAAAAAAATTGTAAAAAATCATTAACAGACCATTGCTTATCTACAAAATGCACTTTACACAAGTTACGGATCAGAATAAATAAATACAAAAAGTACCCTTTCCTTGCTTAAAAACTAAAGTAAAAGGCATAAAGACCTTTTGTACTCAAACCTTGCTTGGTTTCTACAAGTATCTCGCCTTTAAGTACCTCTTTAACTATGAAAAACTCAGCGCACCTTTCTATCACTTCATTAATTTTTAAAAAGTATACTTTAAATATAAGTGTATGCAGTTTAGAACAGAAAATTTTATGCAGTTACTAAAAATTGAATGCAATTTTAAAACGAAAGTTGCCAGAAAAGTTGTGACTGAAAAAACGAATTTTTTTAGACCTGGAGTTAACGTTGCTTGTTAGTTATCAAAATCTTATAGTTAACAAATTTGCCTTGCTCCAGTTTTTTTTTAAAAAAGATTCTACATAACTTTTTATTTTGAAATATTAGTTTTAAGAGTTTTACTTTTAAATTGTTGGTTTTTGTTTTTATTTTTATTATTAGTTTTGTCAAGAACATTGAAAAAAATAATATTTCATATTTCAAACCATTATCATAAAAATAGAAAAAACAAATAGATCATTAAATAAATTAAAAAATAATGATATTTTATAAAAACTAGTTTTTGTTAAGTTTTAAGTAAAATATGGCAACAGCTCAAACGTATTTCAAACACTTTTTTATAAAAATTAGGTTAAATTGTAAACTGATCTTTGAATTTACATTACGCGAAGAAAAGTTTAGAGAACCTGTGGTACCAGCTGTTATATCATCTTTATACTAAACAAAATAATTCTTTTCCTGATAAATAAAAATTATGATGATAATGAATTTTATTATAAAATTTAAAAATATTAAACATATTGCACTGACAATGTTATAATTAGTAAGTGGCCAGGGTTAATACTTGACTGGGGCCGGATTTTAATAAAACCTAGCCGGGTTAAATAAAAACGGTGCCGGGTTTATAACACTGTGAGTTATCCGCTTTTAGGATTTTAGATTATTGCCGTGCCGCTTTGTACTTTTTAATTTTTTTTCTACCTTACCAATTAAAAAGATCTAATTTTTTTCAGCTATGTAATTTTTGAAAAATTTTTTTGAGCAAAAACCGTAAATATAAGAACTGTTTTAAAAAATGCGTTGCGTTACTGTATGCATCAAAAAAGAGGGTATATGCATAGATGCATAAACCCTCATATGTATAAGATGTGTGGGTTATTGTTGCGGTTATTGCCGCAATTTTTGTAAGAGGGTACCATTGGTTTGCCGAGAAGATCATTTTGAGTTTCGTTGAGGGCTTTTCAGAATTCGTAGTTAATCATGGCTAAAGGGTACACATTTGTTATTAGAATTTTTACCAGGTTTTTTTATTTCATCCTCACCGTCCCTCGTGTCAGAAATTGCTTTATTGTATCGAATGGCCTAGCTGTATACTATGGTAAGAAAAAAATTTAAGTAGGGCCACTGTTTCAGTAGGTAATTGGTGTAGTGTTGAGTAAAGTCTGCCATTTTCGTCCTTGCTTCTTTATGCTAACTAATATTTTACACACACACACACACACACACACACACACACATTTACTGTAATATATTACATCATATTAATTATTTTTTTTTATTATTATTTATTTTATTGATTTTTTTTTCTAATAAAATTAATGCACATTTTAATAAAATCGGATATTTTTTAACAATCATTAAAACAGTTACCTATTTTGCAACTATTAGCTAACTAACTTTAGCATTACACTAACTACGACACAATTTCCGTCGCGAAACGATCCAAATTACAAATAAACATACATTAAAACTATTAACGATTTCACAACTATAAGCTAACAAAACAACAAATTAATAAAAACATTAACCAAATTACTTCACTATTTCCGTTCCGAAACGATTCAAATTACAAATAAAAACCGTAACATCAACGAAACAAATCGTAGCAAAATTATATTTTGCTACTATACAGTGCAGTAACACATGAAACACTAAGTTTCATATTAAAATATATTATATTTTAAACATTAGCATATAGCTAATTCCTGGTACCGCGGGTAACAGTAACATATATACTATATAGCTCTTGTTAACCTACTAAGCACTTGTTTAATTATGCAATACTATATATAATAACATAAAAATATTATATATATATATATATATATATATATATATATATATATATATATATATATATATATATATATATATATTCAATTTCAATATATTCAATAAAATATATTCAATAAAAAATTTATATTCAGTCTTCGCTATTTACACTTGTTCGCAACATAATTTTTTTTTTATATTTACATTATTATAACACTGAAAGGAATAATTTCGCAATATTGTATAGAGATAGTTTAATAACATCTTTATTTATTTTGCAATAATAGTCTTTGGTCAAATTGTAAACTGAACTCTAAACTTGACTTAAATGTCGATAAAAGGGAAATTGACGAGATTACGGAAGATGTTTCCTTTAATTAAACAAAATGTAGTATTCAAAATAAATAAAATTTATTATGATGACAATTAAATACTCCTTGATATTATCTAGTTTTTTTTGTTAACATTGATGTTGACAAAGTCAGATCGTCCGTATTTTCGGTTTTTGCCCTATAATTAGCTGGTAATTTTGCATCTTTTAATAAATTTCTGAAAGTTTCAGTATTCGGTTTTAAATTATAAGATTTCATTAAATGGACGGCCATCCCTTTTACAACTAATAAACATTGCAAGGGGCATTGTGTTAAAGTTGTTGATTTGCTCAATTTATAAATACCAATTACTTCTTTAGCTTTTTCTTTTGCAATTTTGTGTTAATGTTGTAAGTGCCGGAAAAAGCTTAATGGTTTTTCTTTGGCAGTTGGCCATTATGCGTTCTTTTGATGCTTGTTTGTATTTTTTTTTCTAAAATAAAAATAATTGTGTTCTATATATTTAAATATCCTTAAATACATACATTATTTACATACATTATACTTTGTTGTTATCGATAATGTCATACTAATTTAGGAAAAACATGGGAGTTTAGTAACAACAATTTAGAAATGTTAGTAGGTAAAATTTAGAAATGTTAGTAAATTTAAACAAATATTATAATTTGAATATAATATTTGTTTCAATTTAAAACTGAAGAGAAAAAAATAATGTCGTTTTTTTCATTAAAAAACCCCCGTCTTCATCAAAACGGGGGTTTTAAGGTATGTTTTTGCAAATATTTTTTTTACTCAAATTGCTTTTTTAATAAAATTATTATTGATAATTATAATAAAACTATATAATTATAATAAAACTGTATAGTTATAATAAAACAGTATTACTATACCATAACTATAACGGCAAAATGAATTAATTTAAAACAGAAAATTTAAACAAAAATATTAAAGGGAAACACATAGGCCATTCGTGTTACTTTTTTGTAATGGTGTATTTAAGTTCATTAGCAACATTTTGTGTGTTCCGTTAAAACTTAATTCTTTCGTTTGTAATTTTTGTCCGTGCAGTTTTATAAAGAACATTAAGGTCATATTCTTTGATAAAATCAAGCATTTCTTCTTTACTTTAAAAAAATAAATATAAAAATAAATAAGCATAAGTTATTTACATTTAAAATGTTATTAAGAGAAAACAGAACATACTTGGCATTTTGTTTTCAAAAAAGTATTTTTGAAACTTTTTTAAAATGAGCTTTTCATCATTATTTGA